TTAGTGAGAAACTTTGATAGCTTAATCCGAATGATGGTTATATGAGTGTATATACCTGTCAAAATCCATTGAGCTGTATACTAAGATTCATGCATTTTATTCCATGTACTTCAATTTAAAAATTTTTAAAGAGAAATTCTGAAGAAGTTAGTAAATTTAGTTAAAAGAAAAGCTAAGAAAATCTTAATTTCTACCTTATTTTTATATTGAGAATTTTTTGTTTTTCTGAATTTATAGTCTACAACAAGGAACTAGTGGAAACATGTACACACCATCAGATAAGTTAAATTTTGTCTACATTTTGACCTTTGTTAATAAGGTAAAATAAGCAAAAAAATAAATAAAAAGAAGATGTCCAATGTGTCTGGCTGGTTCTCCAGTGAATAGTGCCATATTAGGCTTCAGAGTCAACCTCAGCAGTTGTTGGAGAGGTAAAGGGAAAGAAAGAGTTACCAGGACTCAGTGAGAGCTCTAGCATAGGAGAGGTATAGTCCAGGAAATGTCAAAGAAAAGCAGCTATTCACACATGGCAGAGCATCAGTCAAAGAGCTAAAGAATAAATACCCTGGCTTATCTTTTTTCCCACCATTAAATCTTCTGGCCATACACAACCAGACAGAGGGCAAGTCTATTTGATGCAGTCCATGAAGTCAGTGTGCAGAGAACAGAGTATGGAGTTGGGTACAGAAAGGTGGAAGTGGATCTAAAGAGGTAAATGGAGAACTTTCCAAACTGTCAAGCATTTCACTGAGTAAGCAGTATCAAATCTGGATATAGGCATGATGCTGAAAGCCTTTCAGGAACTCTCAAATTCAATAAACCATACTGAATTATTATGGAATATACATTGATGTCAGATAGCTTGACTTTAAATGTTCTCTCTCCTATTTATTAGTTGAATAACCCTGGATAAGACTCTTAAGTAATATGATTCCCAATCTTAAGATATTTTTGAAATGGGTGTTGTAGATGCTCTGAATCAACATTCAGTAATTCAGTATATGGTACTGTGTCTCCCATAGCCAGGAGTCGTGGGCTGAGAAATCAAGGGGTAGAAATGAGAGAGGCACCACTCACCTCTAATGATCCAAAAGCAAAATTTTTACTTCCTGTCCCCTGGATCTTTTGTTCTGCTGGCCTAGAGGTATTAGTTCGAGAAAGAGGAGTGCCTCTACTGGGGAACACAATGAGACTACTGAAGTGGAGACTGAGACTGCCACTTGGTCACTCTGGGCTCATGTCTCTGAATCGACAAATAAATAAATGAAGGAGTTACTGTGCTGGCTGGGATAATTGATTCTGATTATCAAAGGTAAATTAGACAGCTACTACAGAATACAGGGAAGGATTAGCATGTCTGGAATGCAGGAGATCCCTTAGGGCTCTTCTTAGTAGTACCATGCCTTGTGATTCGATTAACAAAAAACTACCGCAACTCAATTCAGGTAGGGCTACTAACAGCCCAGACCTTTCAGAAATGAAGGTTTGGGTTACATGACCAGGCAATGAATCACAACCAGGAGAAGTAATTGCTAAGGGCAAAGGGAATATGAAATAGATAGAAGAAAGTAGTTATGAGTAGTGCACTGGGGAACACAATGAGACTACTGAAGTGGAGACTGAGACTGCCACTTGGTCACTCTGGGCTCATGTCTCTGAATCGACAAATAAATAAATGAAGGAGTTACTGTGCTGGCTGGGATAATTGATTCTGATTATCAAAGGTAAATTAGACAGCTACTACAGAATACAGGGAAGGATTAGCATGTCTGGAATGCAGGAGATCCCTTAGGGCTCTTCTTAGTAGTACCATGCCTTGTGATTCGATTAACAAAAAACTACCGCAACTCAATTCAGGTAGGGCTACTAACAGCCCAGACCTTTCAGAAATGAAGGTTTGGGTTACATGACCAGGCAATGAATCACAACCAGGAGAAGTAATTGCTAAGGGCAAAGGGAATATGAAATAGATAGAAGAAAGTAGTTATGAGTAGTGCTTATGATCACATGGCCAGCTGCAGAAATGAGGACTGTATCGTTACTAGCATTTCTTCCTAATTTTGTTATGAGTATGTTTGTGTATTAGTAAGCAACTGTATTTTTTTCCTTCTCTTGTTCTATCACATAACATTAGATGTATTAATTTTGTATTGTAGTATTTAAGTTGTTAACTTTACATCATGGTATTTAAGTTATAGGATATCAAGCTGAATATTACCCAAGGAGTTATATCCCAAGGGAAAGGGATAGTGCTTTCTCAATGGTAAACATGGTAGTTGTAACAGGTGAGGAGAAAGTGTGACTTTGCTATTGTCTTTATTTGGTGATTAAAGATGGTTTAAGGAGATGTGTTTGGGATTTACACTGTAAAAGGATGACTATAACAGTTAAATTTTATGTGTCAACTTGGCTAGGCTATGGTACCCAGTTGTTTGGTCAAACACTAGTCTAGATGTTGTTGTGAATATATTTTGTATGTGTGATTAACATGTATAATCAGTTAACTGTAAGGAAAGGAGATTACCCTTGATAGTGGGGTAGGCCTCATCAAATCAGCTGAGGGCTGAAACCAAAGTTTCTGAGAAAAGAAAGATTTCCGTTTTAAGGCTGTAACATAGAAATCCTTTCTGAGTTTCCAGCCTGCTAACCTACCCTAAAGATTTCAAGCTAAAGACTACATTACTCTTGCCGGAGTTTCCAGCCTATCACCCTATTCTACCAGTTGTAGACTTGTCAACTCCCACAATCACATGAGCCAAATTCTTAAAATTATCTATCTATCTATCTATATCATAGATAGATAGATAGATAGATAGATAGATAGATAGATAGATAGATAGAATCTATCTATCTGTCTATTTATCTATTTTTCATCTGTTATCTGTCTTTCTTATTAGTTCTGTTTCTCTGGAGAACTCTAACACAGGTACTAAAAGTACTTCCTTTCTATAGATGTTGTTCACTTTAAATGAAATAACATATGTAAGTGTGATGTGAGTTGGGTGCAAAAGAACAATTTAAACTAAGTTGGCTTGCACAATAAATGTATACTCTTGGTTTGTGTGGTAGCCTATTTTTTCCAAAGTTGACCCACAAATACATGCTCTGCATCAAGTGCTCTTTTTATAATGTGATATTGACACACCTCCATAGAGAGATGAAGGTTTATGTTCTCTCTGTACACATCTGTGAGAGACTCAGCCAACAGAATGAAACAGAAACAATTTTGTCTGAATTTTGAGGTTAGATTATGAAGGGTAACATAGCTTCTGTCTCTGTTTCTGTCTGTCTTTGTCTTTCTATCTCTGTCTCTGTATCTGCTATCTATGTACTTTTTTTGACACCTAGATCCCATGGTGGGAGGAAACCCATCCCACATGGGGAGGTCATGTGTAGGTGTTCCAGCTAACAACACAAACTAGTTCCCCAGCTGATAGCCAGCATCCATTTCCAAATGTATGAGTAAATGAGCTTCAAATGGCTCTAGCCCACAGCTTTCCAGCCTTCAAGGCTGACCTAAGCCATCTCAGAGTGTCCTGTCTGAATTCCTGACCTATAGAAACATGAGATAATAAATATTGTCATTTTTAAGCCAGTAAATTTTAGGCTAATTTGTCATGCTGCAATATATAATGAATATAACTTTGCTTTATTGAAAAAAATCTAAAGGTGACATAAATTTTAGGCATGATTGGGTCACAGATTGGCTATGTTTCTCTGATTATTTTCCTGTTAGTTTTATCTACTTACAGGAGAAAAATAACTACATTTGTTTCACTGCCTCACATCTGTATCAGATACTGTCCAAAGCAAAGAGATCACTTTTGATCAAGCACTTCCGGAAGGAATCCTGAAATTCAGTATGATTGAGCTATCTTAAGTCCTCGGGTTGAGGCATATGGAATATAAGCATTAACTTGGTATATTTTTTCCCACTTAGAATCACAGAAATTCTCAAACCTTTATCAGTGGTTCTCAGGAAAAGGAGAATAGATACTCTGGAAATAACCACAAATTTCCACTATAAACACATGGTGTATTATTTGATATACAGTGTCCTTTACAAGTTAAAATTATAACTTAGTTTTATCCTTAGGGTCAAATATTTTCTCATGTGTTATCTTGTCTCATCAGTCACCAATTTTTTCATTAGTATTTCACTCAAGAAGATAAAAAGCAATCCTATCATGCTCCAATCTTTCCCCTTTCTAACTTAAAATTCCCTTTTATTACTCTGAGGCTTAGTAAATGTACCTGCCTATCTCTGGGTTAGTTACAGCACTCATAGGCTCTGTTTAAAATTAAGCCATTTTACAAATTCTTTCTTGAAATTGTTTTCAGGATACTTGGCAATGTTAGATGACCACATATGTTTAATGTTGTTAAAAGCAGAGTTATTTTAGCAAAGGTGTGAAATAGTGCTTTAAAATCAACAAAAGGTATACCCCACAGAGGTCCTAGAATAGCACTTAATATGTATAGAAGGAAAAGAAGTTGCAGTGTATAACATGAGTAATGTAAGATACAAAGAGTTAGCGTTAATGGTTAGACTATTTCCCAAATTCTGTTATGAAGATTGTAAGTTTTGTGCAAAAAAAAAAAAAAAATCTCAGAGGTTAAATATGTTTGGAAAATGCAATGTACTATCTTGTCCTTTCGGAAATTCAGAAGGCAGATGAACATATTAAAGGACCTGAAAAGTTCTATAAAGAAGAGGTTGTTTAATTTTGGTAATCCAGTTTTTCCTACACAGATTTGGAAAACAAAATGGATCACTTGTCTTAAGGAGATATTTGTCATTAAAAATGAAAATAACAGTGTGATATATATACTAGGGAGTCAAATGATGAAATATAGTTCATCACTAATAAAAATGAGCTGAAAACAAGAAATTGGTAATTTGGAGCCTTAAAGTGGTGAAAGAATGTAGACCACGCTAATATCATTTTAAAATAGCAATTTCCAGTTTCAGCTAAGAAGGAATAACTCTTTTATTTCTCCTTAGAGAAATAATCCCTGGATAGAATTTACGGAACAACTAGCTGATAACTCTGAAAAGTAAATAAAAGCAGGCAGACTCAGGAGAGAGATCAAAAGCCCCCAAATTGAACCAATACAGCGGTAAGTTTCCCGTTTTATTTTTTGTTTAGTTTTTCATTCCCTTATCTCCTGGCTTATATTATAGGAAGTCTAAATCATGGAATTTCACAGTGTGCATGCACAGTAAAAGCTCTAGGAAAAATCTGTTTTCCAGGCTAGAGGACCAGGAAGTGGGCTTCTGTGAATGGAAAGCATGTGTATGTGTGTGTGCACACTCACACACAGGCAAGTACCCGTACTGCTTTCTTTCTCTTCCTGCCCCTGGCCCTGAGGCGCCCTTCTCCTGAAGCTGCTCCTGTATTGGCAACAGTGGTGACCGTAGCACCTGTAGAGATACTTGAAACACTGATAGACAATCCTTCTCTCTAACCAGAGGCATTTGGAAAATACATGTATCTGGAGGGCATAGGTATTTTTATTCCCTTTTCACTCACTACTTTGTCCAGAGGAAGATCCAGCCGTGGGAAGTGTGACACGTAAGAAGGCTCCAACGTCGGCTCTCTAGCTAGCTCCCAGAAACCAGCAGTGTGAGGGAAACTATGAAGAAGATAGAATCAGATACTGTAAATCTGTGTATGTAGTACTAGACTAATCACTTGGTTGCACTATGGAACTGAAACAACGCACCATAGGAAAGCTTTGGGAATTCAACTGTGGTGCAGACCACTGTCCAGGTCCCAGACTTGTCCTTGGGTGGTACACATGCAAGATACACCAAAGTGACTCACAGAGTCTCTGAAAACTGAACTGATATTGGAACCACAATCCCTAGATGATCACTTGGAACTTGTGGTTTGAACCTAACTGGGGTGATTGCCTGCTAAAACAAACAACAACAACAAAAATCAATATTCTCTGGAGGTTTTTAATAGCACTTGCAATCTCTTAATATTCAAAATGTCTAGGATACATTCTAAAATTACTTGACATACAAAGTACCAGGAAAATCTTAATTTGCTTAAAGGAAAAGACAATGAAATACTAACACTGAAATGACTGCAATGTTGGAATTAGACAATATTGTAAAGCAACTATAATTTTGCTCTATGAAGTAAGGGCAAGCACTTCTGAAATAAGTGGAAAGATAGATGTTCCCAGCAAAGAGATAGAAGCTGCAAGACCAAATGGAATTTTATTTTATTTTTTGAAGTCACTATGCATAGTCCACACTGAAAGCATAGGGAGTTGTACTCTACCTGCTTGAAAGCAGAGTATCTACATAAACTATCTGGAATGGAACCCTCTCCAAATGGAATTTTATAGTGAAAAAAATGCAATAGGAGTAACAAAGACCCTGGATGTGCTCAGTGTAGATGAAAGAGGAATTGCAAATTCAAACACTGATTGATATAAAGTTTCCAAAGTGTACAATGGAGGAAAAAACAATATAGAAATGAAGTGAGGCTTAGAAATATGTGAGACAATATCAAAAAGTTTAACAAAGAGATTGATGCAGAAAATTTTTGAAGAACTCCTGGTTTAAAATATCCCAAATTTAGTGATGGACACAAATGTACTCAGTAAAACTTGAACAAAATAAACTCAAAGCAAACATTCCCTATATACACCATAATCAAACTGATGAAAGCCCATGTTATAAGAAAAATATTAGAAACCATGGAGGCCATAAGAGAGGGGATCAGTATTTTTTAATGTGATGAGTGAGAGAACTGTCAACCCAGAATTTTTTTTTTAAGGACAGTTCTAAACAGCAGGACTTTATTAAGCAAACCATAAATACACTCTAAAGAAGGGTGGAGAGCAAGCTATCTGGAAACCAGAAGCAGCCAACCCAGAATTCTTTAAGAAACAAAAAGTATCCTTTAAGAATGAAAGTGAAATAAAGACATTCGCAGATAAAGGAAAACTAAGGGAATCCATTCAGAAATGCTACAGAATATAGCCTTTGGCTAAAGAAAAATGATAACAGAAGAAATCATGGAAACTTAAGAATAAACAACAGAAATGATAAATATATGGGTAAGATGAATGTTACTTTTATCCTCTTAATTTTCTGAAACTAGATATGTTTCCTGAAAGTAAAATTATAATATTGTACAATAGGGCTTAAAATGTATATGGGTCTGATTCACAGGTATTAGTTTTCTGTTGCTGACATAAAAATTACAACTTTTGCAGTTTAAACATACAAATTTTTATCTTACATTTCTGTTTATCAGAAGTCTGACATGAGTTTCACTGGGCTAAAACCATAGTGTTTGCTGTGTTCTTTTCTGGAAGCTGTAGAGGAGAATCCATCATTTGTTCATTCAGGGTGTTGGAAAAATTCATTTCCTTGTGGTTAGGACTGAAGTACCTATTTCCTTTCTTGCTGTCAGTTTAGGGCTGTTCCTAGCTTCTAGAAGATGCCTGCATTCCTTGGATCAGCCTCTTTCCTCCATCGTCAAAGGCAGTAGCAGTGGGTCATTTGCCCTCACACTTCAAATCTCCCCTCTTTCTTCTTCTGTCACATCCCTTTGACTTCAGCCAGGGCAGGTTCTCTACTTTGAAGGATTCATGTGATTAGACTGAGCCCACTAAACAATCCAGGATAAGGTTAAAGCTCTTAACCTTAATCACATCTTCAAAGTCCCTTTCACCATGTAAGGTAATGTATTCACAGACTCCCAAAATTAGGGCATGGTGGGAGTAGGGGGTGTTACTCTGTCTAGAGCAATATATGAAACTACAACATAAAGAGAGGGAAGTAAAGGGCACCATATGGTAATAAGGTTGTTTTTTTATTAAGATATTATTGATATATAATCTAATGCTCAGGTTCCACATGAGCAACATTGTGTTTACTACACTCCCCCCTATTATCAAGTCCCCACCACACACTCTGTTACAGTCACTCAGTCTATCAGCATAGTAAGATGCCACAGAGTCACTACTTGTCCTCTCTGTGCTATATTGCCTTCCCTGTGCCCCCCATATCATATGTGCTAACTATAATGTCCCTTAATCCCCTTACCTCTCCGTTCCCACTCAGCCTCCCTAACCCCTTTCCCTTTGGTAACTGCTAGTCCATTCTTGGGTTCTGTGAGTCTGCTGCTGTTTATTTTGGAATTTAAATCTTACCTTTTTCTCCCCCATTTATATTTGCAGGACTTCCTTGAGAAGAGAAATGTAAAGATTTTACAAATGGAGGAAAGTAAGTAATTCCACAAACCTATCATCTAGTTGTATCTAGAATCTGTATTTTATTTCAACAGTAGGAAGTGATGTTCCTATTTCATAAACTAGAAACATCATCATTGTTCTAGTTTAATTTTTTGATTGTTTCTTAAAGTTCTTAAACTAAAATGATATGAATTATATACATTTTTATATATCTATATATACATACTATTTATTCACATGAATTCCTTTATAGGTATTTAGTCTAAACTATAAAAACATGTTAGCCTGGCATTGATTTGCAACTCGGTATGTTGTGTGATACTTGGAATGGCTGCAGTCCTGGGGAGCTGAACATGTTTCACAATATTGGGTAGCTTCTGTACATTCAGTTGACAGGAAAGATAAAAAATTATCCCAAGTTTCTAAAGGAAAGGTAAGGTAGGTGGAAGTAACTAATCAGGATATATTTTGGTGACTTGTAATGCATAAGACAATATAAACTATGAATCACATTTTTAAATAAATTTTTCATTAAGGTGTTATTGATGTACACTCATATGAAGGTTTCACATGAAAAAACAAGGTGGTTACATTTACCCATATTATCAAGTCCCCCCCATATCTCAGTGCAGGCACTGTCCATCAGTGTAGTAAGATGCCATAGATTCACTATTTGCCTTCTATGAGATCACATTTAGTGATCAAAAATAAACTGAAATGCCTTTTCATCTATCTAAAAGAGCAAGGAAAGATGTACCAGGGAAATATTGTAATCTAATGATGAAACCTACTGGTCATGATTCTTTTTAACATAATTTTATCTCCTAAAATTTAATAATTTTATGTAAATTAGTATATACATGTGTACACATAGTATAATCATCAAATGGGAAAGCTTTGCATATTTTAATTTCCATACCTATTTTTTCCAATTTATAGACAATCTGGTGATTTTCCCTTGAAAGATTTGCTTACTTTATATCCCAACTTTCATAAATATTTATTAGAGGACTACTCTGTACAAATAAACTACAGTTGCAGTCATCAAAAATTTCATGATTTAAAAGGGAAGATACCTGGCTTTCTTTTAAAAAACATTTCTTCCCCTAAAAATTATATTTTCTTTAATTTCTTAAACTGAAGTTACTAGTCTCCTTATAGAGAGATATTTCTCTTAAGCCATTTAGATGACATAAGTTTCAATACTTTTCCTATGTCTGTTGTGAAGTAGATTTTATCCATGGTATTATTACATCTTGAGTACAAAATTATGTGACATTGGAGGAGTACAGTCAAGGTAGGCAGAAAAATTGCTTAAAGATATTACTGTCTTACCATGTTAAATGATGTTGCATTGCATAATTGTGTACTACTAGAGAGCAAAAGGGTCAAAACTAGAGTTGTGTGAAGTGACTTATCTTTAGGAACAAAGAAGCTAGAAAGACAATGGTTCTAAGATACAATATTGTTCTATTTTCATTCATTCATTCATTCATTCATTTATTCATTCACTCAATAAAACTTTTGACATCCTACTTAATACATTTCTACCTAGATCAGTGTTTCTTAATCCTGGCTACACACTCAAGTTACCTGGGTACCTCTGAAAAAGTACAACTGCTTGGGTCTCCACATTACATTTATCATATCAGAATCTCAGGATGGAGGTGGTGGTAGTCTTAGGAATCTACAACCTTATAAAATTCCCTAGATGATTTCAATAAGCAGCTGGGCTTAAGAACAACTGTTTTAGCCTTTAAGATACCCAAGATTAATGAGACTTTTTGAACCTCTTAAGAGTGGGAAGAACTCATAAATACCTGCTTCATTTATATTTCTTTATATAAATCCTTATATTTTGTTCTAGAAGCCATACTTCCTGGGTTTCTTAACCAAACCATATTTAACACTTCTTGAACCAAATTGTAGGGTGAAACTGTTGCTGTATGTACAGGGGATTCTGAGCAGGGAATATGGCTGCTTTTAGTTATATACATTCATTTTGTCCTCTCTTTACTCAGATCATCAGAATAATTTGTTATTTCTTAAAGGGGTTAATTCAAAAAAGACCATGTATGACTTGTTTTCTGTATGTGTAAAACGGTATTCATACTTATATTGAAGCCTCCTCACAAACACATTATACTGAATGAGATTAAATATTAAGCTTGCTAACCTTTTTGAAGATTATATATATATATATATGAACATTCAAAAACTTTTTTGGTTTTGATAATATTATCCTTATTACTTCTCAGTTAACCATTTATCTTGCTCTGTAAAAATGTTTCAGAAATAGAAACAATGGGTTTTCTCTCCTGAATCTGAAGTACCTGCTGTGTGTTTGAAAGCATCATTGGGTCATAGAGGAAGATCCCCTGATCAGAAAGAATTTTTTAATCAAATTGGCTTATGCTCACTGATTTCTGAAACATTAATTCTGAGAATGTGGTAAGTCTCCATAATTTCTTCCTGAGGAAGCTCATCTATTCCAGTCTGGCAACATTTGACTGCTCTTTCCAAAATGAAAAATGAAAAATATTTTTTAATCTGTCAATAAAGAATGGGCTGAATTTTTGTTAGAAATCCAAGCCAGTATAAGTTCATGTTATTAATTACCTGAGATTTGAAAATTCCTTTTGTTTTGTCATTCTTAACTCAATATGTTTATGAAGTTTTTTGCTATTTATTTGTTGAATTCAGAGCAGTGTATTTATTACTATTGTAAATGATATTAGTCATAATTATTCTATTTATATTTTAACCTATTCTGATTTTGATTTTTTAGAGCTTTACGATTGTTTTAAAATGAAATAAATAAGTGATCAATTTTACAGATTTATAAACGTCTTAGTACTTGCAACAAAATTTTTATGGTAATTCAATTTCTTGGTTTGAAACATTCCTGTCTTAGCTATCTATCACAACTCATGTGCTTCATTTTTATACACATGCAGGTAAGGATTTTATATACTTTTTGTTTCACAGTTGTGGTGCCGAGTGCTGAATCTCACAATATAAAAGAAAAATTCTATATACACAGACTGTGCTCTTATCTCCAGTCATCTTACAAATATATGCTAAATCCTGTGGGAAAAAATGGACTACACTAGGGTTTTTGTATCATTCAAAACAATCTCTTTACCTCTCCTCAATTCCATATCCAATACTCGATTAAGTATTAATTTTATGTACAGAGAAAATTTCAGTAAAGTATTAATCAAGACTCTGGGTTGTGAGCAATAGAAACTCAACTTAGAGTAGTTTAAGCAAGAGAGCATCTTTTTGATAGTTATGGTAAAAAACTCATGAGGAGACTCTGGTTGAGATCATGTACTAAACCCTGAACTAATTTATCAAGGATGATGAAATATTCTTAATGGTAAGATATGCTCACAAGTCTGCCATGTTTTGGGGGTTGGTAGGTGGATAAAGGTCCACTTTTTTCCCAGAGTAGATTAAATAGATTTCCCTAAGAGAGGCTCTGAGAGACATCCTACTTCTTAAGTAGCAGGAAATGATGTTGGGCAAGAAGAACACAATCACTGTATACCATAGTAGAGTTATGCAGTAATAAAAAGAAAAAGAAATAATGATACTTCTAGCACTAAAATATTAACTTTATGAAGCATATTTGCCATGTAATTTTTATTCTAAGGCCTGTTATAAATTGTTAGAAATCACTCTAATTCTTATAGAAGATTATAAAAAGAATTCAACAATTCTAAAGAATAATACATGCATAGACTGATGTTTCAAATGGACCAGATCCAAGTAATGATGCTATTTTACAAATACTCATGAATAGAAAATAAAAGATAAGAATATATGATAAAATGTAAAGTAAAAGCATTATGATAATGGCATTTTAAGTTATTTCTCTTTTCTATATAACCCTGTTTATTTCCTATTCGTGTTATTTCTTACTATGCCCCACCCCCCACTTTTTTTCCTAACAGTGTTCTTTGTGCTATTACATTTGGAAAGAATTATTCAGTAGGGGATGTAAACTAGGCTTTTAAAAGTAGAGGTCAATAATATGTAGACTGCACATTATCCTTTTAGGTTGTCTCTGATTTTTCTAGTTAATTATTGTAAGCTTTTCTATGTTAGTGCTATGAACTTTTGACATCATGAGCTTATGTTTTAAAAGATTTAAAAGTAAAGACTTGCATGTAAAGAATGATCTAAATATATTTACTTTAATGAAGAAGTAACTTAGGAAAATGGAGGAAACAAACTAGATGGATCACTTAAGGAAACTTATCTAGCTGTAGCAATAACTGAAGGACTCTTTAGATCTGGACTTGATGACTAAAAAATTTTCTGATAGATACTGAGCTGACTCTTTAATGAAAACTGTACAAAATGTACTCTGCCTATTTGACAAATGGCATAAAATATAATATTCAATGTATTCTGAAGGTCACATGGTAGATACTGGGATCAGTCTCTAGTTGTATCCCTCAAAGCAAGTAGTATTTCTTTGTTAGTGTGCTCAGTAGAACACTTAACTGTGTTGCTTTTGTCTAGATTCTCTTGGAACTTCCTCTTTTCTCATGACATCTCACCTATATATGGTGACATGTCTTCTAAACTTAGGACCTTGTTACTGAAACCAATATTCTTTAGTCTTTAATTGTTAACTTTAACAATAGCTGTTTGACATACAGCTCTGTCACTCAAATTGGAGTGCTCTGTAAAATCTAAGTGCTTTGGGTGGCTTCATTTTCCTTTTAGGATTAAAAACTTTCTGCTAGCAACAGTTTTGTGTGTGTGTGTGTGGGGGGGGTGCTGTGAAGGCAGATGATTAGAAGTCCCTTTGGTAGCAATGTGTCACAAATGAAAACAGTCTCTCCATTCGTATAGTATATTGACACTTCTTGTATAACACTATTAAGCATACTCCAGGCAACAGTGGCTTTGGAACATATTGCAAATCTGCATGTGCTGGTAACAGCTTATGCCTTTTTAATATTTCTGCCCTACACTGCCTCCCCTCCCCCTATGTCTTTTTGAGACATTCTTCACTAATTATGTGGAGGAGGAAGGTTGGAGAAGAGAGCACAAGCATCGGAATAAAGATCTAGTTTTCTAGTGGGTCCTCTAATAGACTTTATCAGCTGCATGAATCCCTTGAAATAACATATGGAAGTTAATGAACATAAAGAACCAATTTGGATTCTGAAATGGCCTTTGACTCCTTAAAAGTAAATCTTTATTCCTAAAGTTTTATGCTTTGAAATGTCATATATTCGTTAACTAGGAGGTAGGTGCCTTGAACTCAGAATGCTAAGAAATCAATTGCCTGAACTCATTCTTTGGTTTAATGCTTTATGTATTAATAATAATTATGATTTTCTTCCTTTCTAGCCAAGAACTTCTCAGTATATATTGAGTGAATGACACAGTTTCTCTTCTGTATATTACAAATAAAAAAAATGATCGTGGAGACATACTTTGTCACATTCCTGTTCTAATCATTATTAGTTTTCTTATTTTTGACCTTATAGATTGAATAGATTATTTTGTGACTTTTAGTATTGACTGTATTGTAATACTCTAGAGCTTTCTCTATAGTGGGCTCCTGTCTTAAACTAAACCAAAATCTCATCATTTCATTAAAAAAAAATCAGGTTATTCTTTTCACTAACATGGGAATCACCACATAGTGCTAAGAGGAAATCATACTCAATTCCCATGTGAACATTCCTCTTCAGAAAATATTACTTATGTCACACTCATTTACCTGCTTCCCTACTCTCATTTACTATTTATAATGTCCCCAGTTGTTAAGGGGTGAGATATGCTTGGGCTTCACCTTGGGGAAATGGTCCCATAGAAAAATGAAACCGAGGGTCCAGAACAAATGAACTAAGTATCTAAATTGGAATTAGAGAGTATAAACTTTTCCTTAGATTTTAGATTTGAGTGCCTCCAAATTCTCTACCTTCTCTATTCCTATAGATACTATCCTTTTATTTTAAAGATTATCTGAAATTTGACTTTATTAAGAAGCAAAAAATGACTACTCCCCATCCAACAAAAAAGAAAACCAATTTATTTTGCCTACATTTGTGAGATGATGAGTCTATTACATTTACTGGGAATTCAGGAGTGATTATTCAGTCTATATCCACAGATGTAAAGGAATTTTCAATTTTTGGCTAAATTTAAAAGTCTGTTCAAATAATTGCTAATTATCTAACCAGTCAGTGGTTGTTCTCTCTCCATGTGTGTCCTTCTTCCACTGTCTTTCTCCTTCTATCCTTCCTCTTCTTTCACATACTAATACAGTTATTTTATATTTTTAATATTTTTTTTCTTTTAATTCATTTTATTATCATTAATCTACAATTACATGAAGAACATTGTGGTTACTAGACTCTCCCCTTCACCAAGTCCACCCCACCACAAACCCCATTACAGTCACTGTCCAACAGCGTAGTAAGATGATGCAGACTACTTGTCTCTCTGTGTTGCACAGCCCTCCCTAAGCCCCCCCACATTATACATGTGAATTGTAAGGCCCCCTTTCTTTTTCCCTGCCCTTCCCACCCCTCCTGCCCAGTCCCTTTCCCTTTGGTAACCGTTATTCCATTCTTGGGTTCTGTGATTCTGTTGCTGTTTTTTTCCTTCAGTTTTTCTTTGTTCTTATAGTCCACAGATGAGTGAAATCATTTGATACTTGTCTTTCTCAGATTGGCTTATTTCACTGAATATAATACACTCTAGCTCCATCCATGTTGCTGCAAATGGTAGGATTTGTTTTCTTCTCATGGCTGAATAATATTCCATTGTGTATATGTACCACATCTTCTTTATCCATTCATCTACTGATGGACACTTAGGTTGCTTCCATTTTTTGGCTATTGTAAATAGTGCTGCGGTAAACATAAGGGTGCATCTGTCTTTTTAAAACTGGAGTGCTGCATTATTAGGGTAAATTCCTAGAAGTGGAATTCCTGGGTCAAATGGTATTTCTATTTTGAGCTTTGTGAGGAACCTCCATACAGTTTTCTACAATGGTTGAACTAATTCACATTCCCACCAGCAGTGTAGGAGGGTTTTCC